CTTCTCGTTGATACAAATGCCAAGAGTAGTGAAGAGAGAGCAAAGACCATGAATCGCAGCTGAAAGCTTGGCATGGGAGGACACGACAAGAAGACATCATCCAGATATGGGAACATGGACTACCCCAGACACCATAGCTGTCCCGCTATGACCGCAAATACCTTTGTGAATACCCGTTGCGCCGCTGCAATGCTGAAGGGGAGAACTCTGACCTGCTAGCGGTTGACGCCCACACGGAGGCAAAGAAATTTGCAGTAGACTGGGCAGATGTTGATATTTCATGTTGAGATATCATGTTGAGAGCTGCGAACCAGACTCCCTGGAGAAGGGAGGGAAAGATCAAGGCGAGCATCACCATATGGAACTTGGTCTTGCTGATGAAGGTGTTGAGAAGGGGGAGATCGAGGATGGAGCGGAACCCTCCGCCCTTCTTCGGGATAAGAAAGTACAGAAGGTAGAACCCCTTGCCAACAAAGGGATTGAGTACTTGTTCCATCACACCCTTGGCCAGGAAGGTGTGCGCCTCATGTTGTAGGAGGGTGTGATGGGAGGGACCCCCTGTAGGAGTCTGAGGGGCAGGTGCAGCAAGAAGGTGTGAAACTTGAGAGTAACCATGCCACACAAGCTCCAACACCCAACAGTTCGTGGTGATCTTGCCCCAGTTGGGAGCAAAAAGGGCAAGATGGCTCCCAAATGTGACAGAGGAGGCAGAGGATGGTGATGTGGGGGACTTGCAGCTCTTGATGTATGTGTCAAAACTGTGCCTGAGGTGGCTGCCGAGGCAAGGAGGAAGAGGTGGCTGAGGCCACTGGGACTTGTGTACTTTTGTGGGAGAGTCCTGATAGCAGGACTAAGGGTCTGGTATGGCGCATAGAACCGGGGCCAGAAGGATTGTCATTGCTGCCTCTGCTGGGGCATATCTCTCAAGACATTGAAGCGTAGCCCTCAAGTCCTTCAGGGAGTGAATGGACTCATCAGTCCTATACAAGAACAGCTTGTCCTGGTTGAAGGGGAGGTCTTCGACCTCCCATGGGAAGCCGGAGGACTGTAGCCACAACTCCCGGTGCATGACTACCTCTGGTGGTGAGGGAGCAAGAGGACATGTCCGCTGCTTTGACTGAAATCTGGAGGGTCACCTTGGCCATCAGGCCCCTTGTACCAGGGCCTGGAAGTGTTGCCATTTGTCCGGTGACAAGTTATCCAGGAACTCTACTAGCTTGGCACAGTTGGTAAAGTCATACTTCGCCAGCAGAGCCTCGTAGTTACTAATGTGAAACTAAAATGCTACGGAAGAGAATACCTTCTGGCCCAGGAGATCCAGGCATTTGGCTGCCCTGTCTGGAGGGGCAGAGCCATGTGCGTGTTGTCTCAAGCATTGTGCCATGTGTATCACCAACGAAGGAGGGGAGGGTGGGAGAAGACAAAGTCAGCCCTTACAGGGGGCAAAGTACCTGATTCTGCCTGTTTGGGCATTGGGGCACAGGAGGCAGGTGTGTACCAGACTGCTTGCTGCCCATTAATGGTAGTCCCGGGTCAGACAGTGCACATGGCCGGAGAGCCTCCTCCATGAGGAACTTACTGAGACGGAGCAGACAAGCTTCAAGTCCACGGCGGGAAGGACCTGCAAATCTCTCAGCAAGGGTGGTGGTGGTGCTCATTGCTCACTGAGAATGAGCGAGGGCAAAGCACAGTTCTTGAACCCCAGAAGATGGGGCATAATCCCCCAGAGAAATGGGTTCGGGAAGAGTCCAGGTCCCAAACGGGAGAGGATGAGACAAACTTAGAGGTGTTTAAGGTCGGGCTTGACAAAGCCCTGGTTGGGATGATTTAGTTGGGATTAGGTCCTGCTTTGAGCAGGAGGTTGGACTAGATGACCTCCTGAGGTCCCTTCCAACCCTGATATTCTATGATTCTATTCTATGAAATACATTAACAGTAACAAACTGTAGAAGATAACAGAAAACTATATGAATTTGGACTTTGACCATGGGGCGGTAAGAAGAAACTAAGGTGGTGTCGTCCCATACAGCCGCATATAACCACGTCTGCACCACGTGCGAGCCTACAGACACTGATACAGAAATCTCACTCGTGTTTGGAATACAAACAGTACTCCTGAGGGCATTCTGTGCCAAAAAATGAAAAATTCTGCAAGTTTTATTTGTCAATAAGTAAATGCAGAGGCTCTAGCATGGCAGTGGGGAGCACAGGCCACTGGCATGCTGAAGGTGGGAGATCACCCTGCAGCTCCACTCCTCCAGGGACACAGACTCAGTGGTGAGACTGCACCCGACCCTGACACAGCACAAGGCCTGGGCCTGCCCCAGGAGCATCCCGGGGCCCCGCTTCTCTGCACCAGGTATGGGACAGGCAGGCACAACCAGGCAGGATCCAAATGTGGAGAGGCTCAGTATGGGGGAATCCAGGTGTGGGGTGAGGGAATTCTGTGTGGGACAATCTGAGTGCAAGCAGCCAGGAGCGGCGCCAGGGTTTTTGCCATCCTAGGCAGCAGCACTCCTCCTCTGAAATTTCGGTGGCGAGGGTCCTTCCGCTCCGTGTCTTCGGGGCACTTTGGCGGTGGGTCCCGAAGCGAGTGAAGGACCCGCCGCCGAATTTCCGCCGAAGACTCGGAGTGGAAGGACCCCCCGCCGCTGAATTTCCGCCAAGGGCGGCAAAATGCCGCCCCCCAAATCCTGCCGCCTTAGGTGACCACCTAGGGTCGCCTAGTGGAAGTGCTGGCCCTGCAGGCAGCTTAGTGGTGGGTCTAGGTGTGCAGGAACTGGCTGCACAAAGGCTCACCGCGGGTGGGGTGTTCCAGGTGCAGGGGCAATGGGACTCTTCAGGGGCTTCCAGGTAAAGGTGGTTGGGGCTCAGCAGAGGGGTCTAGGTGTGGGGGTCCCAGTGGGGAGTTGGTGCTGGGGGAGTGGGGCTTTGTGGGGGTCTAGGTGCAGCTAGTTGGAGGTCAGTGGCATGGGGGTCTGGATGTGGGGGCTCAGGGTGGTGCAGGAGATGGGGCATCAGGGTGGAGGTTTGAGTACAGGGAGCTCAGTGGAGGGTGGTCTGGTGCAGGGGCAGGGGTCCGGAGGCAGGGGCTGAGGTTCAGTGGGGTTCTGGATGTACCTGGTGAGGCTTGGCAGGCGTATCTGGGTATGGGAGGTATGGATGCATGGGGGTTGGGTGGATGGGGAAGCAGCTCACTTTTTCGTGACCCCTCCCCTCACAGCTGAGAAGTGACGGGGGCAGGAAGCAGGGGAGGATGCTGAGCTTCCTGCAGCTTGGGGAAGTTTCTGGGGGTGGGTCTGACACAGCCCCAGATACTCCTTGCAGGGGAAGAGGAAGTCCTGTCCTCTCCTGCCTCCAGCCCAGCTGGGACTAGCAGTTGATCCCAGCTCAGGGTAGGAGCCACTGACTGGCGTGCCCTCAGCCCTGTGGTGATTTACCTCTCTGCCAGCTACTTTGGGTGTCTGAAACAATGTACCTGCTCTGCTAGGGAGTGGTGCATGACTGCTCTTGCAGTTTCCCTTTGCTTCCCTATCAGAAAATCTTTTTTCCGCAGGAAAGCAAAGAAATCTGCGGGGGACATGAATTCTGCCACGTGCTGTGGTGCAGAATTCCCTCAGGAGTAAAAAAAGGAACCATCATTTGAAAAAAAAATGTAAGTTACCTTCAACTGTCATCTTCATATTTTAACAAAGTAATTATTCTTGTGTAGTTTGTCAGAGTTATAACTTGAATATAACTACAAGAACTTCGGGTTGGAATGATAAAATTCTACCTTGATGACTTACAGAACTATTTGGCCGATGAATGTTATATTCAAGAATAAAAATGATGAGACCCTAGACCCAGGTTGTAGAAAAATGATATGGTATTTTAGGAATAGTATGTGATTGTGTAATGAAAGGCTCTCTCACAATACACATACACAAAGGGACAGAATTCAGGTTGCCAATGCATGGATCTGCACAGTGTGCACATTCCTTTTGTCTAAATAACTTATGTAACCTGAGTGAGAATGGCAGAGTATATCACCATGTTTATAGTCTACTCTGCTTTTGAGAGCAAAGTAGTAAAAAAAAAAAAAATCTGCATTATACATCCGGACCCACATGATCTTGTTAGGAAAGCTCCCTAGTAAAGTGACCCATTCATATTTTCTGCTGGTTGAACTGCTTGAAAACAGAATGGGAACTAGACACTGATCTGACACTGTCTGGTTCTCACTCAGATTGGGGCAGTTACAAAGGGTGTCTTTCACTGGAACAGATGCTTCCAGCAGGCTTCAGGAATAGGATTATTCTCACATGCATTATTATCTACTTTGAGACAATGATAAAAAAAGAAGAGCTCTGCGTAAAGGCGAAAGCTCGTCTGTCTCACCAACAGAAGTCAGTCTAATAAAAGGTATTACCTCCCTCATCATGTGTCTCTAAAATAATTTAGATTAGTCAAGACTATAGAGGATTTGAGGAAGTCTTGAAAGACCTAAGAGCTAATATATGGAGATATATATATCTCATAGAACTGGAAGGGACCTTGAAAGGTCATCAAGTCGAACCCCCTGCCTTCACTAGCAGGACCAAGTACTGATTTTGCCCCAGATCTCTAAGTGGTCCCCTCAAGGATTGAACTTACAACCCTGGGTTTAGCAGGACAATGCTCAAACCACTGAGCTACTGTGGGTAGTTGGCTAAAGTGATGGGGAAGACCTGTGGACAATAAAAAACAACCAACCAAGATCTGGGGAAAAATACAGAAATCCTGAGAAAGGCACTGAATCTCCTGGAGCAGCAGTGGAAGACCACAAAGAATGACATTTAAGACTGCAAAAGAGTCAGCATCTTGAAAAAGCAATATGGAATTGGGGAGCTGGGGGAAGACAGTGAAATTCTCTAAACTCTTAGATTTGTAGCTCTTGCATTTATTTGCAATTTTCTAACATTACTAACTCATTCAAGTCGTTTGCTCCATGCACCCCAAAAATTAAAACAGGCTCTTACCAGTGGTCTGTGCTTCAAGTTTATTAAACAAATCTCTCCAGGCTAAGTCTTGGAAGAAGTTGTTGTACCTGTAATCTACAGAGCCTAGATACTTCGCCACTGGATGAGAACCTAAGAGGAGAGAAAAATAAGCCAGTTGCTCCAAATGCTGAACACACTGACAGTATTAGGCTTGGTCTACACTAAACAATTAGGCTGACCCAGCTACGTTGCGTAGGGGTTAGAAAAATCCACCTGAGCGAGGCTTGTAAGACGATCTAAATCCCCATGTAAGCAGCACTCTGCCAATGGAAGAATTCTCCCATCGACCTAGCTACCCACCTCTCGGGGAGGTGGGTTACCTGTGCCAATAGGAGAACCCCTCCTGTCAGCGTATGTAGTGTCTGCTGTGCCACTGTAGCATTTCAAGTGTAGACAAGCCCTTAGTATAGAAAGAATTTAAGTTCAAAACAAAATTATCTAGATGCTCCATTAGGATGTTTTCAATTGCAACAAAGCAATTTAGGTCAAAGTTTTTGGACTCGTGTGTTTAAAGTTAGGATCCTAGACAAAAGTGGCCTGATTTTCAGGAGTGAGGAGTATCTGCAGCTCGCACTGACTTCAACACAGAAGCAGAGCCACACAGGTTTCTCCCCAGTTATGAATTTCCTGGCATTTTAGCTAATGATGCCCATCAGGCAGCCATTGTACAGAAACACTCATTCTTCAGTTGAAGAGAAATAAATAACCATACAGTGGAGATGCAACTTAGATATCTAGAGCCAATCACAATGCAGACAGATCCCCACATGGAGTTGTTCCCTCAATAACCAAGCTGTGGTGATGCAAGTCTCTCTGCTCCAATTGTGTAGTAAAATCCCTGCTGCTCAGATCAAACATTCTTAGTACAAGTATCAAAGGGGTAGCTGTGTTAGTCTGGATCTGTAAAAGAAGCAAAGAGTCCTGTGGCACCTTATAGACTAACAGACGTATAGGAGCATGAGCTTTCGTGGGTGAATACCCACTTCATGCATCCGAAGAAGTGGGTATTCACCCACGAAAGCTCATGCTCCTATATGTCTGTTAGTCTATACGGTGCCACAGGACTCTTTGCTATTCTTAGTACAGGAGCCAAACTGTTTTCCAGCATCAGAGACACTGCTTCAGTTTGACTCCCTTGAGCAGACCTAAACATTCTAAAGTGTAAACGAAAGCAAAAGTAAGAGACTTAAGAAAACAAGGACTGAGATACTGCTGAGGAGAAATACACTTGTAAAATAGTGAGACCCTGTGACTCAGCTCTTCCATTGTAGCTCAACTCCTACTCCCGCTTTAGTCAAAGAGAATTTTGCAAATTACTTTAACAGCAGCATGTGCATCAGATCCTTCCTTCCACTCTGCAGGTTCACCAGGGCTCTTGTCCTCAAAAGAGCTGTGATATACAGTCTGTGTTTGCATTCAGAGAAGACACCCTCTTCTCTAAATTCTGTTCTAACTCATATCACATCTGTTCCGAAACAGGAAGGGTACAATTTAATTCAACCCAGAAAAACCTCAGGTTTTTTCCTCTTAGGGGAAAAAAAGAAAGCAATGGGAAAAAAATCAAGGTTTTATTAATGAGACATGAGAAACGTAACAGAGTTGGCAAAGAAAAGCTTGCAGTTCTACCAGAGCACCCACACACTTGCTAAATGTGTCCCAAGACAACTAACTAGGTAGGCCTACTGCTCTTATCAGTCATTAAATACACACTTATCAGCGTATTTGCTTTTTTAGCTTTACTGAAAAGCTTTACAAAGCTTTACTACATTCAGATTTGCATGGTCAGAGAAAGGGTTGACTGACACAGAGCTGGCTGAGAAGGTGGTCAAGGCATTTAAAAACTACATTCTGGAGTTAGCAATTCTGATTCCTGAGGTGTCGGAAAGCTTCCACCATTTTGAGATGGGCTTTCACGGCTTCCTCCAACACCACATTAGTGATCGAAATCTGGATACTCAATTTTAAATGCTAGAGGAGGACAGAACTCAGGATTATGCCTTCCCATCAGCCACATTCTAGCCTATGCTGTTCTGTACTCAATCAATATTTTCTGTATTTGGGATTAGTCATGTTGGTTAAGTAATGGAAAGGTTCCATAGCGTCTCCAAATCTCTTGATTTTATCCTTGTGTGTTTCCAATTCTTTAAATAGCTACCCACATTTCCATTGGGACAGGGACATTTATGTCATGAGCCTATAATCTGTCAAAGTTCCCCCAAATTCACCTCCAATTGTAATGCCGCTCTGTAGTATCCCTTGTTGTGTAAAAAGCATACCATGTTTCCAATCAAAATCCTCCTTGTACCAGTGCAAGTTTCAACACATCTGTATTGTTGAATGCAAACAGACAAGAACTTCCCTAGTTCCACTGCATTTCTTCAGAAGCTGGGACATTAAACCTTTCTTGGACAACCAAACAGAAGGCTGCCGGTGGTTGCAAAAGAATTTCTCAACATGTCACGCACAATAAGCTTGAAGACTGTGCTACATGCTACTTCTTTCTCGATGAGTTTTAAATAGTGTTTTGAATACCCATGCACCAGGAATTAGGGGCAGAGGATGAATTCCTTTGAGTTTGTAAAGCAAATAGCACAAGGTGGATGTTATGGAAACCAGTAATAAAAATGAATGCTTCTGAGAAGTTCTCTCCTTTGTTGTTCTGAAAAAATGGTGGTCTTCTTGTCATAGTTTTCTCTGCATTCCTGGAGAGTATCTTCAGTCATTTGGACACAATATGGTTGTTTCAGTCCTAGAATCAATGGCATTGTGCAGGAATGCATTTTTCCTATGTGGACATTCACAGCCACAATAGGACAATTTCTAACCTTCAACCAACCATCTTGCGTTAATATCAATGTGATTTTTTTAATCTCTTCTTTTTTCCTTCATTTTTTTACATGCAGCATCTAGCAGTGAACCTGTGAGCGTAAGTCTCTCTGAAGGAGACTATTCACTACAAAATAATTCAATTATTGATTTCAACTGTTCATTCTGTTCTACATCAAAGACAATGTTACCAGCTTAATCGAGGTTGTAACTTTCTATGAGGATCAAGTCTTTGTCTTTCAGTTGTTTTTATGGCATAACCAATGCTTGATCTTAGGCATTTTTTGGCTCCTGAATGAAGTTGATGCTGAAGAGCTGATGGAAAGTTGGGAACAGGTGCTTAAACAGAGTTGGTTGGGTGTTTTTCGATTAAATGTCTTTTGTTGGAAAAAACTGCTTCATCAGAACAAACTGTTCACAGGAAAAGGTCTGTTTCAACAGATTTCCCACATCAAAAACATTTTGAATTTCTCAAAACATCCCGTTTCGTCATTTTCAAAAACTTAAAATGTTCCAAGACTTTTCACTTTAGAAATGTAAATTAATTTATAGTAAACAAGTTCAAAAAAAGTTGAAATCAAAACAAGCTGTTTTGGCCAATCCAATAATTTTTTTTTCCAGTTCATGAAAATATGAAATAGACTTTTTGGCCCAATTCAGGATGGGAATTTTTTTCAAAATCTCAAAAAACTGTATGGGACCAGAAAACTGTTTCCTATCCAGCTCTACTTAAATCAGAGATTCTCAACCTTTTTCTTTCTGCGGGGCCCCCCAACATGCTATACAAACTCCACGGCCCACCTGTGCCACAACAACTGGTTTTCTGCATATAAAAGCCAGGGCCAGTGTTAGGGGGCAACAAGCAGGGCAATTGCCCAGGGCCTCATGCCACAGGGCTCCCCGTAAAGCTACATTGCTCAGGCTTCAGCCCCGGGTGGCAGGGTTCAGGGGCCTGAGCTTCAGACCCATATGGCAGGGCTTTCGCTTTCTGCCCTGGGCTCAGGTGAGTCTAACGCTGGCCTTTCTTGGCTGACCCCCTGAAACCTGCTCGAGGCCCCCCAGGGGCCCTGGACTCCTGGTTGAGAACCACTGACTTAAATCATCACCACAGCCCTGCACCCCAAACTCCTCATTTCTGGCCCCACCCTGGAGCCTGCACCCCCGACCAGAGCCCTCACCCCCTCCCGCATCCCAACCCCAATTCATGGCTCGACATACAATTTCTATTCCCGGATGTGGCCCTTGGGCCAAATAGTTTGCCTACCCCTGCTCTAGCAGGATCAGGCTCTTCTGCATTTATACACAAAAGTTTCAATCAATGGCATATTTGATCCCGATGAAAGATTTCTCTGTCCATTGAGATGAAAACTAACTATTCTATCTTGCTACTTTAACTCTTGACTGTGGTTAGATTTCCCTTGACAAGTATTATTTGATTTCATTACTTCAGTATATTCAATCACTTGACTTCTACCACCTCCTTTAGAATACGGAGTCAGGTAAATTGATACGTTGATGTATGGTAGTCACTGACCACTTGTTTATAGCACAGATCAATAGCTTTCACATTCACTACATTTGAAATGGAAACAACCACTTATTGAATTCAAAACTAAGATTGAAAAAAATCTCACTAGTCATTTTTATATAGAGCTATGTTATCAGGTGCCCTGCCTGTTTCCCAGAAGCTCCTAAATTCTTGCAAACCCAACTCATAATTCCATCCTTGCTTATCCATCCAATGACATTTGATTCAAACCACTAGCCAAGCCCCTCTCTACAATCAGTCCACCCATTCATCTTCTCCAGGCTTCTAGACAGTTCAAGAACATGTGTAATTGTTTCCTAATGAACATAACAAGAACCTTGATCTTCTCATCACTAACATTTTTGAAGTTTTTCATTCATAGTCTGAAAGTTTAGACCCTAGAAAAATTAGGCTGACTTCAAATGTGTTGTGATCACATCAGCCAGAATGACCTAGCAGTTGAAAGAATGAAGAGATACTCTCCTGAAAACTAAAGTTACACTGAGCTATTTTTTTCCTGCACTCAACTATATATGGGATTTTGCAGAAGAGCCTGGGTGAGCAGTGGGGATGGAAGAGGAGGGGTGGGGTAAGTCGTTAACATAGAGAGGAAGGAGGGAGATAGGAAGGTAGAAGGAACGGTCAAAATCCCCCTCCCCGCCCCGTTAGTTTACCATTCAGCAATTTTAGAGCCCATTTAGTTTTTTGTAGTTTCCTTCTCTTCCATTTAAAATGTGTAACAATAATTTAAAGGTGCTTCCTGTTAACTGAGTATTAACTAAACTCTGAGTTCAACAGCCTCTTAGTTACTTTCTATGAACATCTTGAGCTGCAGTCTCAGAAATAAGAGTCCAGAATACAGTCATTAGTTCAAACACCACTTGCACTGTAGTAAATCATAGCAATTGTGCGCAGGATTGCTAGCAGAACATTCACAAAAGTTCATTATACACTTAAGTTAAAAGTACACTGCAAGAGGATTAATATTGTAACATAGCTCTGTCTTGGGAGAGCTCATTTCAATCCGCTGCATTTAATATGAATGGCTGCTTCCCAACAATAGTTTAGGATTCAGCATCAGGAATGTAAAGATGAATGTGACAGGACCATAACAAATATTAAATACTATAGAAGTGAAATATTTGTCTCATTTAATGGCCAGCAAGAACATGGCCTTTGGAACGCATCCTAACCAAGATTTCCCTGAAGGCAATTCCTGAGAGAGTGCATTTGATTTAAGCCATTAATCTTTCTGTGAAGAAAATATTGACTTATTTACCTAGTGGGATGATCAAAAATCTCATGTAGCTGAGCCAGTCCGGGGTTTTGTGAGACAGCTGTTCTACAAAGAGCCTCAACACAGCACTGAGGTAATTCTGGGCTCCGGCCACTGCAATTTTAATGGGATTTGGAGGCTGAGAATTGCAGTTACAGCTAGACAAAAAAAGAGGGAACATATTTATCATTTGCCTTCTAAATAACTATTTTAAAGTCAGTCAGAAAGACTGCTTGATATAGACAATCTAGTTAATGGCTGCCTCACAGGAATGAGCTATTCTAGCATGTAGGACAATCATACACTGAGCAGCATCTTAAAACGTATTAATGAAATGTAACATTTGCTTCAGAAACATGGACTTTCAATTGTCCACCCCCCGACTTTTTCCAAGCTATGAAAACCTGTACTTGGGTTTTCCATGTAGGGTTCAATTATATTCAATCGTGTTGGGGAAAAATGACCACAAGGCATCCCCTGGCATGCACTGCTGCCTTTAGTGACTTTGGGGATGTCTGCACTGAAATAAAACACCAGCGCCTGCCCATGTCAGCTGACTCAGGCTTGTGGAGCTCAGGGGGTGCAGAATTGCAATGCAGACATTTGGGCTCAGGTTGGAGCCTGGGCTCTGGGATGCCACTGTCCAGCCCCAGCCCAAATGTCTACACTGCAATTAGCCTCACTGCCAGAGTAAGCTGACATGGGACAGCCACAGGTGTTTTCTTGCAGCGTAGACAAGAAACTCTCACATTTTTACAAACTATTTAAAAAAAATCTTCCCATCAGTCTCCTTCCCAAGACTTCTAAGATTTCCTCACTGGGTATTAAGCCTAGAACCAGAAACTTGCTATATGCAACAAATTTCACTGAGAATGATGTAAAGTTGACTGTATGCAGAGAATTACCCACAAATACTCGGTCTTATCCCTGCACTCACATTGCTGAAGGGTAACAACTTCCCCTCACACTGCTAAAGTACTGGTGGCCAAAGTCTCAGGCTGAAACTAATCATCTGTGGCATAAAAAGTTCACTTGTTATACTGTGGCTGGGCAGGAGGCAAAGAAATGGTTCTTTGCTTCCATTATCACATCCACAGGATCCCAGACACACTTGGGTAGAGTTGTGGATAGCTTTGTTAATCCGAGTTGTCTGTGTGGTGAGTGGTCTGATGTTCCTCTCAGACCAGATTAAGAGACAGGTACTACAAGTCTGCACCTATGGCCTCAGCTTCTGGGGTCTGAGATTAAATATGACCATGTAGATCAGACATGGGCAAACTATGGCCCGCGGGACCGTCATGCCCAGCCCTTGAGCTCCTGGCTGGGGAGGCTAGCCCCCGGCCCTTCCCCTGCAGCCTCAGCTCACTGCGCCGCTGGCGCAATGCTCTGGGTGGCGCGGCTGCGAGCTCCTGCCGGGCAGCGTAGCTGACTCTGGCCAGTAAGGGGGCGGGGAGTGGGGCAGAGATGGGGGTTGGATAGGCGTGGGAGTCCCAGGGAGGCCTGTCGGAGGCAGGGGTGTGGACAGGGAGCAGGGGGGGGGGGTTGGATAGGGGTGGGGTCCGTGGGAGGCTGGTTAGGGGCAGGGGGTCCTGGGAGGGGGTTGTCAGGGGACAAGGAGTAGGGGGGGGGGTTGGATGGATCGGGGGTTCCGAGGGGAACAGTCAGGGGTCGGATAGAGGACGGGGGCCAGGCTGTTTGGGGAGGCACAGCCTTCCCTACCTGGCCCTCCATACAGTTTGGCAACCCTGATGTGGCCCTCAGGCCAGAAAGTTTGATCTACACCAGGAGTGGGCAATGTTGCTACCACTGTTATATAATTTCAACAAATCTTGTCCAAATTATGTCAAGTAAGATGTCTATGGAAAGGCTATGATTATGCTATTTGTATGCATGTATCATTTTTGTATTTGAAGTTATGAGCATTGGCTCTATACCTACCTGTATTTCAAATATGTTTGCTCCTAGGGTAATGCCCACAAGGTATTTAGCTTGCACATCTTGATGGAACTATTAAAATTAAGTGGCTCATCAAGGAACACTTAACTCACAATGGACCATTGGAGACACCGATCTACATTTAATGAATGGACTTTCCTGTGAATGTTCCATCTGGAATATAGGTAATGGCTTCTGCTGTGACTAAGGGCACGTCTTCACTGGCAATGTTAAAGCCCTGCCATGGCAGCACTTTAACGTGGCTTGTGTAGTCGCGGCGGAAAACCCACCTCCACGAGAGGAATAGCTCCCAGCACTGGTGCTCTGTCTACACTGGCACTTTACAGCGCTGAAACTTGCAGTGCTCGGGGTGTGTTTTTTCACACCCCCGAGAGAGAAAATTGCAGCGTTGTAAAGTGCCAGCGAGACAAGCCCTAAGCGAAATCATGCATGGACATGTGACTTACCCATGTGACTCCAAACACCATCTTGTTCACTGTGATTTTCCACTAGCTGTGCAAGGGCTTTGTTTGAAACAATGGATTTTCCTCCACACGGTAGAAGCTATAAAAGGCCCCGGAAACATCTCCATTTTGCTTCTTTCCTGCTTGAACCTCTGAACTATGAACTTATACTACCGGGAGCATTCTAACCAAGGAATTGAGGATCTTCCAATGATTTGGAAGCAACCAGAGACTCTACTTGAGACAGCAGTTTATTCCCTCACTGCTACAAGCCTGAATCAAGAACTTTGCATTTATTGTATGTATTTGATTCTTTTAACCAATTTTAACTCTCACCTCTCTTTCTTTTTATAAATAAATCTTTAGATTTTAGATACTAAAGGATTGGCAACAGCGTGATTATTGGGTAAGATCTGAGTTGTATATTGATCTGGGTGTAGGGCTGGTCCTTTCGGATTAGAAGAACTTTTTGTTTGATGAAACTGATTTTAAAAAACCACTCATCTTTAAGTCTAGTGTCTGAATGTTGAATCCAGGACTGGAATACCTAAGGAAACTGCTTTTCTGACTTCTTGTTAGCCAATGTGGTGAAACAAGAAGTTTACTTTTGTTGCTGGTTTGGTATATCTTATGGGAGAATAACCACCAGTTTTTTTTTGGGGGGGGGAGAGAATGGGGTGCCCTATTTCTCAGCAGTTTGTCCTGAATTTGGTATTCCAGAAGCTCAAGCAGGCAGTCTCTCTCTGTGTTCAGAGAGAGAAGGGCCTGGCTGCAGGGAGGTCAAGCAGGTATCTGGAGTGGAGCAGGGCTGGGGAAAGGCCAAGGGAGCCGGGGAGCTCCGGCTAGGAAAGTCCCAGGCTGCAGGCCTGGTAAAGCCTATTAGGTACTGGGTTGCAGGGGGCAGCCCACGGGTAGCCAGAGACAGCAGGTCCAAACCCCTTTGCCGGTGATGAGTGGCTTATACTGCAGTCTGCCCCAGTGAACGGGGGCTAGATAGAGGCGTAGTCAAGACTGAGGTGAAGTGGGGATAATGGGTGGGGGTTCCCCTGGGAGGGGGAGACCCAGAACTGTGGGGGTACTGCCAGGGGGAAGCACCCAGTTAAAGGGGCACCAGGGTCCTGAGAGGGACACGGGGGCCAAGCGGTAGTGGGACACCGGCCTGCAGAGGGCACTCCAATGGCTGGAGAGCTAATTCTCGGAGACGACCAGCAGGAGGCTCCGCAGGGGTGAGTCCACACTGTTACACGGGGGTTTGAAGATAAAGCTCAAGTGTAAGTTGTGACCTACAAAACCCAAACAGCCTGGGTCCTAGCTATCTGTCCCCCTTCCCATCAGAACACCACAGCTGGGGTCAGTGGAGATACTTCTACAGAACCCCTCAGTATAAGATTTCTGGCAATGCATAATTCCCGTGGTCCCCTAGGCTCTGGGAATTGCTTCCCCTTCTTGATCCAAAATAGCCTGTGTCTTTTCACCTTTAGGGCATGCTGCAAAGACCATCAGCTTGTCCCATCAGGGCGTTAGGGAATGGATGAGATTTAGGTGGTGGGGTGTAATTCTTGACTACATCAATTATTAGAGGGAAAACTCATTTCACTTTTGTGGTGCGTAGCTCTCTAGTCTGCCCTGTGAACATATGGTTATTTTACGTCATTAGATTGTCTGGAGCTGGGGAATAGACATCTTATTGTACTTAAATTTAAATAATTTAACACTAAATAAAATGTGAACTTACTATCTCTGTATCCTGGAGACAATCGTACTGAAAGCCGCCTGCACATCAGCAGAAGAGCATGTACAGACCACAGGGAGGGTATGTTTTTGCAAGACATCGGAGAGAAACTGGGAAGACAACAAAATATGTTACGAAGCACTGCCAAAAGGACTTGATTTTACCCAAACTTTTAGTCAGAAACTCACATACAGGTAAATTTGCCTTGCTGGGGTATTTTCAGACATAGCTGTTTCCAGCTCCTGGAATTACTGGCTGTACTCCATGCTACAGTTTTCTATGACACCTCTTCCAGAAGAAAAAGCTTAAAGAGGAGCCCTTCTAAGGTATGTCCACACTGCAATCAGAAGCATGACTGTGGCTGGGGTAGATATACCCACAGTAGCTTTAAATCTAGCTAGCATGGCTAAAAATAGCAGTGAAGATGCTGTGGCAGCGATCCAGTGTGCTAGCAACACAAGTATGTACCCAGGTTCCAGGCTGGGACATACTACCAGGGACTGCGCCACCAAGTCTTCACTGCTATTTTTGGCCATGCTAGCTAGATTAAAGCTAGTCTGTCAGAGCTGCAATCACACTTTCGAATGCAGCATAGGCATACCCTAAGAGTTACATGTGTGTCTTATTGGCTGGCATGGTGACAACTCTCCCAGGATGTACCACTTCTGGTACCCAGGTGTCACACACACATCGCACCAGATGTTTGATTACAGCTTCTGGAGAGCAGAATCATGGTAGGATTCCAGCAGGTGGCTCATTACTGACCCCCTCCCCTCTCCACCCCCTTTTCTTTTTTAAACAGTTCACTCCAGGGTTTCCTGCAGAGAACACAAGCTGATTTGTTTTTCTTGCCACAGAAGCACAGCCAGAGTAGCATCTCTCCCCTGCTCCCCACAAAGGCTGCTATTGATTAAAACAAGAGCTGCTGCAGACTAAACCATTGCAATTACCATTCCAGAAACAATCTAAAAGGGATGAGGAGTAGGCAAGTGGGACATCCCCCCCTTCTTACACCTTAAAACCCAAGGAAACCAGCTACGGGACTCTTCTGACCCGTACCCTGACACCCACACAGCACATTTTCCTTGACAGTGACAGACTCCAACTCCAGCAGAACTATCTGCTGCTTCCAACTCCTAAGGAAACACTACAGTTAGCGTCTCCCCTCCATCCCCCCATTCAAAGCCTTAATTACAACCTCATGTTTCCCTCACTTAGCCTGAGCACATGTCAGCTCCACTGGCTAATGCTGAGACTGTCTGTTTACAACCAAGTTCTTCACTCCACTCTCCATCTGCCCCCCAGGCCTCATGCCTGGAGGAAGTGGATGGGGTGGGCCAATCTGATCCACACAAAGTGCAGAGCACCATGGGGGAAGTCCTGTGGCTAAACAGCACCACTCCACTCACCTGCTGCCAAGCTGCTTTTAGATTCCCTTAAACCTGATTCTGTAGAAAGCAGGAGTGGTCTAAAAAAATCACACAGATCAACAATTTCACCTGCAGTAAGGCTAGCAAGCCCATGATCCTCGTACCACCATTCTCCATACTGGACCAGTCTAAGTGTTATAGAGAAGGTCTATGAATTATAATATCAGGCACTTTCCACACTTTTTTCTGTTTTGTTTTTTAAACATGCCTAGTTTGGTGGGAAAGGAGTGTAACTTGATCTGAAAAAGGCAAACAAGCCTTATCTCCCTGATGAAAAAATAAAGCACTAGCATCAAAGTAAGAGTGCAATGGTAGTGTTTACATATTCCACTTTTGGGATATTAAGCTGCAAGGTACAATTAGCAAATGAACGTGCATGCAAGGAATGGGTGATACTTTAAGGTTCCCACAGGAATGTTATTTTTTGCACCTGTTACCTGCACAAAATTCTTAGCCCTAGCACTGAATTAGTTAATCCTTCCCTGCATTTATTTCACTTTTAAGATGACAAAGTATCTGAATGCCCCACTCGTTCTCTCCTTGCCCCGCTCCTCACTTCTACTGGGCACACTCTGCCTCTCTCAGCACTGCCCTCCTATGCTAGTTATGTAGCATCCAAAGATTTGGTCCTTTGCTCCTCCACTCCATTACAGGGCCAGGAGAGTCCCTGTGCATATGTACTCCTGGGCATCCCTTTCCTCCCACTCCCAGTCCAAGTACCCCATCTCAATGCATTTTCTGAAGTTCTCCTTTCAAGTGTAATGGAGAGAAAAAAACTGTTCAGCCATTTCCAATGAGCAAGGAAAAAATGTATCTGATTAACCCAGGAGAATGCCACCTTAAGTGGAAGGGGGTGTGTTTAGGGAAGGCTCATGTTAAGAACCGCCTTGAAGTGTAATAATTCTCTGTGAAAATAAGATCCCTAGGCCCATGACTCACCTGCTGCCATAACTCCCAAATGCTATTAGAGCCACTTACTAGATAGCAAAATATGAACCTTAGAGGTTGCTTCGCTCTTCCTTTTATGTAAGCTACAAATCCTATCCGCCCTGCCCTGTAGAGAGAGCAACAGGAATTGCCTGCAGGGAAACCTAGGGCTCATCATCTGTTCTCCTGCACTTACCTGGCCTTGCCAGTCCGAAGTATTGACAAGAATAATATTTTCTGGTAGCTGGTCATCAGAAATCAGGATGTGATTCAACTGATCATATACAGTTTTCCTTGGAATCTGTGAATACAAAAAAACCCCAAACAAATAATGGAACAGTGGGACAAACTGGCCACAGATATGAACCAACAGCATTATTTTTGTGAAGCTCTCTGAGATGCCCTGTATGAAAGATACAAATAAGACTATGTTCTATTTCACCACTTCCAAGAGCCCTGTATTTTACAGAAGCTGGGAGCTCAACCGCATGATAAGGCAGAGACCCAGTAATGTTTCCAAAGCACATATTCCACAAACTACTGAAGTAGCTGGGACTTGTTTTGTCAGTGATTCCATGATAATAAAAGGACACACAACAATAAAGTCGCTTTATATTAACCAATATCAACTACAGTGACTGCTGGGGGGCTAGATTTTCAAAATAACGGGCAGGAATTTTTTTTTCTGGGTCCAATATTACCAAATTCTGTGGCTAATGAAAGTCCCAGGATGCAGAGTAGGGACTTTGCTAGAAACACCACTTTGGGTACGTCTACATTGCAAAACAACCTGCGGCAGTAAATCTCATCGCCCCAGGCAACTGGCTCTGGCTTGCAGGGCTTGCACAATATGGCTGAAAACAGCAGTGTGGCCATTCCCACTTGTGCTCGTGCGTGGGCTCTGGAACGCAGCAAAGGGGGTGAGGTCTCTGAGCCCAGGCTCCAGCCCAAGAGGAAATGTCTACACTGCTCTTTTTAGCCCTTTAACGGGAGACTGGGTCAGCTGACCCATATTCTGAAGACTTGCTGTGGCTTTTTTTGTTTCCCCCCTTGCGCTATGGACATTGGATCACCTTAGGGAGCCCCTCTATTTCAGACTAGGCATTTCCTGGGGGTAGTCTTAAGAGATCATCTTTTCTTTCTTTTTTGCTGCCATTTGCCCCACAGTCTTTTTCAGTCTCATCCCAGTTGATATAAAGCAACACACTGACCAAAAGCAGCGAGAAGAGACAGAAAATGGGATATCAGCTGAGAAAAAAAACTCAGCCCATCATGTAGCGGTGGAGCCATGCATAAGAAAAGTTACATCCCTGGCCTTCAGAGGGGAGAGGGCTGGTGGAACAGGAGCCACAGGGGATGTTTTGGGGAAGGATGCACAGCGTAAGGCTGTTAAAGGGATGGAGCTCATCTCACCTGCAGGTGGTGCCTGGTGTCTGGAGAGCGCTCATTGTCCAGGCTGTTCGCCCTCTCATTCTGTGGCCTCGCTGGCTGCCTTTCCTTCAGTGAAGTGCTTCTGCCACGGCGACCAGTTTGCTTCCCTTCTGGCCTGCTAAATTGTAACGGTTACACAGTCACCATTCACTCAGAGCCACAGAGAAGCTGTTTGCCAGAAGGGTTATCCTGAGCTGCAGCAAAGGGATTCTGCATAGTGTGCTCAGGTCAGAGACCTGCCAACAGCCCAAGAAGTCTCCTGCCCCTCCATAGCTCACACTTATGAACCTGCCCCCCAGAGGAATGTCTAGCACTTTGCTTGAGAGACTAATCAGAAACACTCATTGAAGGTAGCCCTGAAATCCAAGCTACTCTAACCCCAGTGACTTTTGCCCTGTTGGACAAACAAGGCTGCTAGATCACTTCAATTGTTTAATAAATCATTTATATATAAACTTTGTCTGGTGTGTGAGGTTAGTACTGGTGAAAGTCTTTGGATTACCAGCCCTGGGGCCTAAGGTCCCAGCCATTACAGTACAGAAAGCAGCAATGGAAACATTCTCCCCTTTGCCCTGCCAACACACATCACCCACCATGGAGGGCCCATCACCTCTAGTGGAGAGAGATCAGATTCTCCATGGCTTATTCAGTTCTTGGCCTCTTTTCTAAGAATGCCTACAAGGGAGCCAATTACTGCCTATCAGTTTTAATTTATCAAGGGGATTTTTTAAACTAACCCGCAATATTAACCACATTCCATCATCAAATAATATCAATTAAAGGACCATGTCCTCCCCAAGAAATTGTCTCATGAAGCAAATGACATCTGTCCGTTAGGAACTGGAGTGAGATCCAGCAGCTTACTACCCATAGACCAAATGGTTGTCACCACTACAAGCCAATAAGAACTGGTAAGTGACTGTGTCTACCTCCAAGAGCAATTCATAAGGAACATCTAATCTTTCAGCTTGATGGTCATGTTGTCAGAAGAGACTAATGATTTTGGCTGTCCACCTTTACCTCCACTCTGATTTTCAGAACATGATTCAGTTCAATATTCCACACAACCTGCAGTCCCTCCACTCCTTCCATCCCAGGCATCCTGCAGGATGGAGTCAGTCCCTGAGAACTGCACCTTCCAGCTTTTACCACATCCACACCCACCTTGACGTGCTCTCAAGGAGCCAAGTCCCAGCCAGCTACCATCCTAGCTGAGGAAGCATGGAAGGGAGACCATCAACACCAATCCTGCAGACACAGCCTCTGCTGAGGAAATTAGACCCTTGTTCCAGGGGCTGAACACTGCTCTACCTCACAGGACTGAGAAGGCACTCAGATACTATGTAGTGGGGGTCAGATAAGTGCCAAAGACAGCTGACTACCCTTGCTGCATAAACTGAGGTGGTGCACTATATAAAAGATGAAGCACTTCCACACCGTCTTAGCCAGTTCCTATAGCAGATGCGATGCCTGCTGCTATTGCTGCTTAGGGTGTTACCTGGTGGAAGGAATAATGAGAGACTCTGTCTTGGTGATTTTTCCAGTTGGTGGGAGCTTCTCAATGAACACATCCAGTGTGGAGAGTTCTGCTTCCTGGGAGTCTTGCTGGCTAGGCTCCTACAAACACAATAGTGACGTGAAAAGCCATAGAAATCCTCTACTCTCCCTGGCTCTAGCAGATATAAACCACGTTCTGCCCACATCAGCTACTCACAACAAAAACTTTCGTGGTGTGATAAGATCGCTAGGAACGGACATAAACTGAACCCCCAGCCAGACCACCTTAAGGAGTTACCTAGAGACTGATCTGCAAGGCTACGTCCCTTTGGGCCTTCCCATGATGATATATACAAAGCCCACCCAGTGTATGACAGTGGATGAATGTTACCAAATGAGTTTTTAAACTTACGTAAGACACAGTGTCAGAGATACTGTCGCCTGGATGTTTGCTTCCAAGGCTCGTCGTCTTTCCAGGCACTTCTACCTGTTTGACAAGAGAAAGCAGTCAAAGCATGGCACACTAGAGCAGTGGTTCTCAACCGGGGGCTGTGAGCAGGTTTCAGGGGGTCTGCTAAGCAGGGCTGAAGCCCAAGCAACTTAGCTTTGTGGGGCTCTGGGCAACTGCCCTGCTTTCTACCCCCTAACACCGGCCCTTGCTCTTCTATGCAGAACACCAGTTGTTGTGGCACAGATGGACTGTGGAGTTTTTGCCTCCATTAATTCATTTGGGATTTTGTTGGAGGGCCTCAGAAAGAAAAGGTTGAGAACCCCTGTACTAGAGCACACAATGCCCCCTACAGATGTGCACTTTATACCTCATTGTTTCCAAGCCAGATTTCACAACGGAGGGCTGCTGGGCAGTATTCACAGGAGGTTTAGGCGGTCACTACCTTGCCAGTCCCAGGCTAACATATACAGAACCTTAACTGCCCTCAGGTCTTCAATTTAAACAATGAAATGTTTCACTAAAAACATCTGTCAATTAGGAAGCCATAACAGAAGATGGCCTGGCAAGCTGCTGTCAGGGAAAGCCCCTTTCCACAGAGATCCCAACCCCCACAAAGCCTCCAGCAGTGGTTTTGATACTGCTTGTGGTTAAACATTAACTGATACTGAGGATGCAACAGCACACAGCAGCCTGCCTCCAACACTCCTGCTCCATAGGCTCCACTGGCTTCCTTAATGGACAGGGGCTGATTCTTCCAGAGACAGAGTCACACATGAGTTAAAAACATGCATGGTTCACAGGGATGCTGCTGCTTGGGAGACCAAGGCAAGTGCTGGGGGCAGAGTGTTGGCTTCATCAAGACCCTTTTTATGGAGCTCCTTGTCAAAGGAGAGCAGACAGAGTCCAAGCCTGACTGTTCACATCAAACCCAAGACGCCATCTGGACAATAGCACCTTTCCCCAGAAACAGTTTCCTTTAAGCATCACACCCCTCTCCGCCCATCCTGGAACCATGCCAAGGCAGACACACTACCACCTCTTAGTTCAGTATGAAGGGTTCTAGGTACCGAATCCCAACACCAACTAAAACTACTCCTGCCTGTGAACAAAGCCCTGGATCAGATATACTAGAGAGCACCTCTGAGTCCTGTCCTGACTACAGAGGTCATATGGAACTATGGTGCATTTGGGATGGCATCCAACCCTTCCCATATATAAGTCAGGTGCCCCACAAGCAGGCATACGTGGGGTGTGGCTGCCCTAATGGGCACTGCTATCTGAATGTTTTAAACACAGATACACGCATGTAATGCTCAAGCAGTCAAGGTTCCTACAGGAAACATTTGCTACTCCGGTTCTTATGTGGAATTGAATGTAGAATTGTTTAGTAAACCTTTTAACAGCGTAAATAACAGGCAAAACATGCAATCTAAGTTACTGCCACAGGTTACTCAAACTTCTGCAACTCTGCTTTTTAAATCTACCTAGGCTCTCTTAACATTGGCCGCGCTGCTAGGGTTTTTTTTTTTTTTTGCTTTGCCGTTCTGACCACCACCACCCCCTTTTTTTTTGCTTGGGGCGGCCAAAAAGCCAGATCCGGCCCTGAGCGAGGTCATTCTGCCAATAAATAACCCTTTGGAAACAGTGACTTACAGGACTTGATGGCTCTCTTTGGCTTCTGATGCTGTGGATGCTACCAATTTCTGTCTGAGAGCTGGAGTGTGACAGGCCTTCAAAATACGGTCTAAGATAAGACAGACGGAAGATATAGTTATCTGCTGGGAAAGAAACCAATGGTCGCTGCTCCCACACTCCTAACCTGAAATCAGACAGATATCCAGAGGGTCTTAATTGCCCCCCCATTAGTTCATCGGGGATTTATTAGCAGCTGCCATTTGTGTCGGTGGGAGAACGGAAAGTAGAGTTCGATGGTTCGAGCACAGGAACAGGAGTCAGGAGACCTGGGATCCTGATTCTAACTCTGCTAGTGACTGACTATACAACCATGGGCCAGTAAGGGTACCGCTCTGTAAAAACGGAGCTCTTGCATACCTACCTCAGAGGACTGGTCTCAGGATTAATTCAGATTTGTAAACTATGTGGAATGAAAAAGTCAGCTCTACTCTCTCCGTCCTCCCTGCACTTCATCCTCATTTCTTTCAACTCCCCCCCGCATCCCCCAACTCTTCAACTTCTAACCCACCCATGTCCATGACTTCTGTACCATTCAGTCCTCCCTTCGCCTGCTGATTCCGTTGCCAATTCCCTCCACTCCCACTGCAAAATCTGCCCCTGCAACCTGGATCACATGCAAAATCTGCTTCACCAATCCTGCTCCTGCACCTCTGAACCCCTCTGGAGAAAACCCTGCAGACACATAGGTGACCCTCAACCTGAAATTTCATAGATGTTAAGGCCAGAAGGGACCACCATGGCAGGGTGGATGGATTTAAGTCACCACTTTTCATCATGATTTACATCAGCACATAGAAAATCTTAATTTATTTTTTTCTATTTGTACTTTTTAGTTATTTTCCCAAGGAAAAGCTCATTCTCACTGGTTGGTATAACCATTAGAACTTGCTGATTGGATTCATATACTCTTTACACTAGATTTGGTACTTTTTGCTAACCCGGAGGCTGCACTATAATTATACAGATTTAGGCGATCATACATCTTTACACTTATTCAGATACTTAATTTCTACATCTTTTAATGCTACAGAATGGTAAATGATGCATTTCTGATTTACTAAATCAACTTTTAAGTTATGATTAGTGTCAAGCTACACTTGGATAAAAATTGGAATTCAACTAAAAATGCACAAAACCAACTTTTTAATAAGTTGAAAAGGACCCTCAGATTCCCTTGCAACCCTTATTGTTGAAATCTAATTAAAGCTACACAATGAAGAACACTAGATGACTGATGATTTAACTGTAAACATGAAACTACAAGTATTTCTGCTCAACTGAAACCCAGTGTAAGTAAAGTGAAAGCCTTTCTACACAAACTGGAAGTACTGTACTGACCTTAGGAAAAAAGTATATGCCAGCATTCACACTATTATAAAGACTGATTATATACATACTTAACCCAGTACTTGACACTGTGCCATATTTATAAAGGCTGACCCAAAAAGCTAGAGATGTTGTCTCCTGACTCTCTATAAAAAAGCAGCTTTTAACTCATTAAAGTCTATGAGAAGTAACTGATTCAGCTTTTAAATTATTTTAATAGATGATAGAGAAAAGGTGGGTAAGGTAATATCTTTTATTGGACCAACTGCTGGTGGCGAAAGAGAGAAGCTTTTGAGCCAGATTATAGTAACTTCAGGCCTTAAAGTGACTTATCAAATTGAAATGAAATTTTAATAGATTTTTTTTATCCTCTTAGCACTGTGATCATCTAGTTCAACCTTCTATGTAACAGGCCATAGAGCTTCATGCTGTGAGACCTGCATCAAACCCCATAACTTGTGGCTGAGCTAGAATGTATATCTTTTAGAGAGACATCCAGTCTTGATTTAACTTAAAATGATTGCCAAGTGGTATAGTAAATTCTCAATCTGTTCTGATTGTTAAATCAGCCTAAATTTTAAAAATCTGCACCCTATTTTCAGTTTGAACTTATGTAGCTTATCTTCCAGCCAATGGCTCTTGTCATGCCTGTGTCTTATAGGTTAAAGAACCATCTATTATCAGATCTTCTTCCCACACAGATACTTGGTTTAACAAAGAAGGTTAAGTGGTTACTTGATCATAATCTAGAATAGTCTCTCATTTTAGAGATGTTTTCCAGTCTGCAAATCATTTAGCTTTATAAACCCTCCAATTTTCCAACCTTCTTGTAAAATGTGGACACCAGAATGGACGCAGGCTTCCAGAAACAGTTTCCTTAATGCTGCATGAAGAGGTAATAGTATCACGTTCCTACTCCTATTCGATATTCCCTTTTTATATCCAAATGCTGAGTTAGCTCTTTTAACCCCAGAACCAATCAACTGAGCACGAGCTTTCAATGTACCCACCATTACCTGC